CTATGAACGCAATAGGATTGAGGTCGGGAGACTGACTTCTCGATCAAAATTATGCTTTTGGAACCATGCTCTCAGCAGTTTCGATGAATGTTTTCGATCACTAGGCTGCTGAAATTTCTATATCAGTGGCTTTTGTTGTTTAGAATTGTTCGGGTCAGACCACTTTTTTGACCATTTTCCATATAACGCCTTAATTTATAAAGCCGCTATATAAATAACTGCATTAAGCTAACTGGCGTAGGCTATTTGATAGTGTGGTGTGGCCCACTATAATGTTTTTACTAGTTTTTAGCCTTATAGTGTGAGTAACTTGTAAATGCTTCGTTTGAAAGCTGATATAATGTAAAAATCGTCTCGTCGGATTCGTCGATAGTGGCAACGTCTATATGTGTTTTCTTATGACCTTATTGAGCATGGTGTTATATCACCGTTCTGTCTATAAATATCTATCTTAATATATACTACGGATAATGATTAGTTTTCGTTTTTAATGATGCTTGTCAGTGTATATTTCTCTCATTACGCCGCTTGTTGATATACCATGACGGCAATAAATATAGTATGATATCTTTATACGGTTCTATTATTGACAAGTTTATTGGTTGTCTCTCAGTATAGTTCCTAAACTTATTATTGCAGTTATATCTTACATCTGGTGTAAGTAAGCGGTCTAACTAGTGAAACGAAAAGCGTAGGACCAACTTTACAAAATATTAAAAATTTGCGACCAAATATTATTCCCACAAATAGCAACAATAAAGGTGGTAAGAAATTGATCTAAAATAATATTTGTAACATCTTAACCTGACAACATATCTCTATATAAAAGCACTTTGGTCATATTTACCGCACACATCTAATACATTTGTTCTCATACACTCACTCATCTCATCTTAAACAACTGCTACAACGTGTTAGCAACTCAAACAACTCGATTTGATATCTGTTTGTGTGGAAAAGTCTTTCGTTACGCAAGCTTAAGGATGCTACGATATGTGCATAGTGTGCGCGTTTATATGTGTGCACATATAAATGTGTATATATATAAATACAAGTATCATATAAAATTATATTCCCTGCAATGGCGATAGTGACATTTTCAATTCCTAAGGGTCAGTGAAGTATGAGTTTGCCCGTATCTATGAACATTGAATCTCGAACATCTTATTAAATGTACATTTCTATAACAGTGTGTACATTTGAGCTTATCCAGAGTCCGGTGCTCCAAGCACCACGTATGTCTCTCGGTTATTTTTATATTCTTTATGTGGTTAGAAAGGTTATTGAGTCAAGTGGAAAAGTGTTTTAGCTGATACTGACCATAAAAATAATCTCTTCCCATGAAGAAGGTATGTAGTAAAGACATATATTGACCATTATATGTGATATACTTACTTGCAAATATGTATTCAAACGATAAAATATTGAAAGTCTTCTCTACATGCAAAAGTTATTTGAACTTGTTTCCGTGTCGAAGAGCTCTTGTAAAAGGATATTTTATTTAGCACGCGTATGTATGCTTACAAACGGATGCGTGTGTGTGTGTGTGTTTAAAATATGTACAAATCAATGTTTTACCACACATTAAATGACCACAAAATTTACATGAAATCTTTCAACTCAACAACAAGTAAATGAATTCATCCTAGAGTTCTTTCAGCCGAGTCTCTGGGACAACTTCGTTATCGTATGTTTTGGATTTATAAACCGACATATTTCTTTGTGTGTGCCGCAGAGTTGGAAAAGTTATAAGCCCTAAATACGTTATCATTTTTTTACAATTTGATGACTTTATTTCCAACCTTTTTATCCCTTTTTATTCTTTAGGGTTTTTGCTTTACAAGAGTTTAATGGGATTCCTTAACATTATTTGTTTCGCTTGGTTTTCCGTATTACGTTCGTAGAATGTTATCTTTGTGCTCAGCATTTTGGCTTTCCTAAAAATTAGTATTATCCTCCTACTGCTGTTTATTTTTTGACAATTATTTAAATTCGAGTTTTTGCTGTTGTTGTTGTTGTTAAAAACACATGACATTTGTACGTTTGCTTTCATTATGTCTGTTCTTCCTTTTCCCCCTTTATGTAGGAAAAATTTATTATACCTAACTGTGGTAACAGTGTAGTAATTATTATAAGCAACTAAATGAGAAAATTATGAATGAGTTGAACGTTCTTGTTTCCATGGATATCATAATTTGGAAAGACAGCACCGACTTGTGTGACATAATATTGAAAAATTTTAAGTTTCAAAACCGATCACTTGATATAAATTATCGATTTTATTCAATGCAAGTAAATGAGATTTGGTTTTTCAGCTTTCTTTAAATAAATTCCCACAAGCCCGCAAGAAACCACAACTAAACCGATTTCTGGCTGGACTAGCTAATACCTCTGTTATTAATGGTGGTATAAGCTCTCAAAGTCATTTTGTGGCTTGCTGATAGAACACAAAATGGATAACTGCTCAATTTTAACCGTACGTATACAGCGTTCAGCAGAAAATTCTTGACCGCGTAAATTCAGTCCCCTTACAATGTTTGTTGGTATTGAAATTTATTCTCAAAAATTATACCAAATTCTCTCTCATCTCAGATGTTGAGAAATAGAGCATGAGAAGCGATATAAGTTCCGGAATCTAGCAGTTACAGAGTCGCCTTTAATTATAAGGATTTCTGGGATACATATCCGCCCTCCCTATTGATATTGAAAATTCCTTGAATCGGATTTGTAAATAATTAAAATCATTGCTCTCGCAGAACTATACTTTTGCTATGTCACAAAGGCAGTTTACCTCCGCCTAAGGATAAAAATCGGTCATATGTATTTTCATTACTCGTATGAAACAATGATTAGAAAGCTGTTCATAATGTCAAAAGAGACACATGTTTCCTATTCTTATTGCAGTCGATTACACTGGCCTCGATGTAAACTTGATCCGATAGATCTTTGAATCTCAGTCGGAAGTGTTTCAGACCTTGCAAAATTTTGAAATCAATGACCACCTTATTCGTTAATGCAAGCAAGGTAGGATCATGGCATCGTTACTAAACATTTGAGACGTTCTTTAAGACGAAATCAAAAAGAAAGCTCTCTTCATACCGCTCAAGCGAATATGCGAAAACTAGCCGCCCATTGCATGTGATTTAATATGCAAATCCGAATTATATTTATTTTAAAGTTTTAAAGTAAATATATTTTGCAAATTTTAGAGCAACATTTGAGAAATTATTTCAGGTTTGATAAGTTGTATGGTTTTGTACAATTGAATGAAGAAAATGGAAAAAATTTACTAAACAGCATCTTGTGAGCAATAGTATTCCGCCGTATTCTGGCATTATTTGAATATCACCATGTTACACGGAGCGGGGCCATCCCCTGATTGATTGGTTCATTAAATAAAAAAAATATAACAAAATTAAAAAAATAGCGAATGATTGCCTTTTTCAGTCGAAAATTGCACGTTTTCCTCCAAGCAGCTGCCAATGACCCAAACATACATATTTTCAAATTCCCCTGTTTCACAAAACATAGATTAACATTTAGATTAAGTGATATTTTTTAACTTTCTTTTTTTAGGTTAAAAGGCGTACATTAGCCCAGTAGCGCCGCGATCGTTTAAATTAAATATGCACGGGGAGAATGATTGCACTGATGCCGTTCTTTAACATTTGTCAACAACAATTTTTTTCGTTTGAGACTTAAATATATGCTTCTTAACATCCTTAAATATTATCATTCTATTACCTTTCCTTTCATATCACAGAGATAATGCAGAGCGTCTACAATACGCCATTTTTGGGCTGTTTGCTGCGAGTTCTCCCCTCACATTCATACAATCATATGTCAATATTATGCTGAATTTGTAGTATATGCGTATTTTTTCTTCTTCAAATATCTCGTATGATCTCGCTAATATGCAAACATTGCTCCATAAAGACCGCAGACATTTATAAACAATCATGGAGGCGGCCGTTACATGTAAACACAGAATATGGGAACATAAATAAAAAGAAAAAAAAATAATGCTTGGAGAATATAAAAGAAAATAAACTGTTGAAAGTAAGAAAGCAAATGGCTACCGCAAGCTAAAAAAAAATGATCAATGAGATATAAAAGATATAGAAGAGAATATATAAATATATAGGATAAAAATACATTAATATATATTCAAAAAAGTAAAATATTTATTTACTTTTAATTACACGTGCTTTTGCGATTTTAATAGATCCATAGTTTTCTTATTTCTTTTCAAAATATTAAAAAAAAAGAAAAGTAAAAACAAAAAACGCAGGCTTTTAATCTCTCATAGTTTGCGTTAACTTTCTACGTATCTAAAACAATATTCAAGCTTCTCCCAAATTCTCCCAAACAGATACAAATTCTCCGCAATGAGAGCTAAATATATACATAAAATAAATACTCAAAATAGAACACACACTCTCGACAAAACACGCACGCATGCATGCATGCATTCAGTTAAGTTATTCAAAGTTGAAAAGAGAAAACACAATATAAAGAGAACCATAATAAATAATAATAATAAAAAAAAGCAACAACAACCTGCTCCATTCTCCCTCTTACTCACAATCAATATCTTCCGGTGTGGGAACAACACTTGTTGAAAATTCTTAGGTATGCTGAAGCCTCCACATTTTCTCTCGCGCTTACGCTCTTTCTCTTTTCTTTACTCTCTCTCCTATAATTTTCTCCTCTCGTAAATTTATAAAATATGTGAAAGTCTGAAATATAAATAAGAAGTAAAACTAAATAATGGCAACACTATGCTATTTTAGTAGTATATTTGCTGTTGCTATTGTTGCACTGTGTATTAACTATACAGTTGTATTTGATGTTGTAGCTACATTCATATGAAATGCTATGCATGCGTGCGTATTTGCGCTTGTTGTTTTTCTATATATTTTTAGTCCAATTTTAAAAGTCTTGAACGAAGTACGCGCGGTCAAGTGAGGTTAAGAGAAAAAGTAAATAAAAAATTAATAAAAAAAAAAAATAAAAAAAATGATAAAGAAATTTTTGTTTTTTTAAATTTTATAAAAAAAATTAATATAAAATAACTGAACAATAAATTTCTGGACAACAAGGTGAATTATATGTTTTTTTAGTTAATTTGAACAGTAAGATTTATACATCAATCGTGCCAACAATAATCTAAGTTTTAACAAATTTCAAGTTTATTTTCTCACATATAGCTTAAGTCTAAATAAACCATTTTTTTTTTTTTTTTTTTGGATATCATATCGTTTTAATTTTAAAAACTCATTATAATTATCGGTCGCGTAAAAAATGCAAACTAATTTTAAAAATTTTTTTAAATTTTATGGAATAATGTGACTAAGTTTCTTCTAAGGCATTGTAACGTTTTTTTTTTTTTTTTTATAGTCAAAATAAATTGTCCGAACTTTACGTTCATTCTTGTATCAATCAGTGAACAAATTTCGTCGAGTGGATTGTATACATCACTCTTTTTCTGGTAAGATTAGCAGCAGCCATCTTGCTGCCAGATTAGCAAGCTATTTGCGAATAACCTCATCGCAGCAAAGCCGTACTTCTCTGCAAAGCGTGATGGGCGTATGTTGCCGATCACAGTAGAATTTGGAAAGTTTTTCTTTTAAATCATGCTGATCAAATATTTGAAAAGCTGGTTCGTTACAATAAGTTTACATGTAACACGCGTGCCCGACGACTTTTGTCAATTAGTTCACTACGTTAGAAGAAAAAAAATCTGTTCGCTTTGAAAATATTTTAACTTACAAAATAGCTTCTTCGGATAAAGAAGCTCTTGCTGCGTAGCAATCAAGCAGACTCCAAAGCCAGCGGAGTCGGCAGTAATGTAACAATGTAACATTCAGGATTTTCGGATCAATTGAACTTAAGACTTCTAATATAATAATCGGCCGCCTTCCTAAATGATTCAAGAAGTCACTTTCTTTCAGGGTTTTTGGATCAATTGAGCTGAATGCTTCCAATATAATAATCGACCTCCACTCTAAACAGTTGAAGGAATTACTTTCTGTCAGAATTTTTGAATAAATTGAGGTAAAAGCTTCCAATATAACAATCAACTAAAGGCGCAGGCTGTGGAAGCTGGGCTTACGAAAGGGTTTGCCCTTCTATAACCATGCTTAGTAGTCAAAGCAAGAAGACGTCAAGTAGTAGAATCTACTGCAATAGCAAACACGTACGAAGGCTCAAGTCTAATCTGCATCCGAATGTTTGCTAAGCACTAACGCACATATATTAATCTTTACACCATTTTTTTTGATATTCAACAAACTGCAAAACTAATGCGATCGCAAATTGTTTAAAAAGAGAACTTATAGTTTCCTGTACCGTTTTGGCGGTAAGCTAGCAAATGTATGGCACGCATAGTAGCCTGCATTGACAGTCCCTTAAGCTACATGTTCTATGATTAGCATAAATAGTGACAACTATTACTTCTATTATATAGGCAAGGTTAAGCAAAAATAAAATTATATTCGGGTTACGCGGCATTTTTTTATGTCCACCTCTAGCGAAAATGTGTCTTATCGAATTTAATGCATGTATCATCAAAATCGTCCTTTCCTACAGCAATAAGTAGATAAGAATTTTAGGAAGCAAGCGTCGTGTTTACCTAGTCTCACTTATTTACATGTAATGTTGTATAAACATTTAACGTGATTTCGCAGATTTTGCAAAGTGAAGTAACAAAAATGATTATTGTTTTACATGAGGATAGGTAGTTAAACGCCATAGGTACCTTAGACAAACATACACCCCGTATAAAGATCTTATTATTACTATTATTATCGTGTAGCAGCCTTCACATTATTTTCTTCCCTTAAATATTCGCATAATAAACTTAACACAAACGACCATAAAATTGTATGTAGTATGGGATCCTTACAGTGCTTACAGTGCAGCAAAACACAAAAAATCGTCAGTATTAGCATTTTTTTAAGTTTTCTGCCTAATGTTACATGTTATCTTTTTGTGTGTTTTATTTTTTTTTATTTATTTATTTTTTTTTTGAATGCTATTAAATCAGGGTCAAGCGATATATTAACTGAAAACAAAATACTTACTAATTTGTGATAGTTTAATGTACTAACAACGACTCTAACAATAACACTATATCGAGAGCCAACACAACAAACACACCAATTAGCATAGCAAAGCACAGAGAAAAACCCCAATTCACTTAACATATATGCACATAGTTAGAATCATTTATAAAAGCCCACTTGAGAGGTTAACACTATAATTAAGTGTAATTATATTCTACCTTATGATGAGGAAACCAAACTAACAAAAATAACAATAACAACAACAACAAAAAGAATATAGGATAATTAATAATAATAACACAAGCGCTCTTTAGCAAGAAAGTAGTGGAATATAGTGAGAACAGCAGCACAGTATAGCCAAGCAGTAAGCCATTGAAGAAGTTCAGAGAGAAAGAGAGAACCGAACAAGAAAAGCAACGCAAAAAATAACAAAAATTAATTACATGCAAGTGTTTTTGCAGTGTATCCGAGTGACGGGGAGGGAAGGCGGGATTACGGAGAAATAAATATATATTCACAGCAACAATAACAACAACAACAAAAAGTAGGAGTACTTGACAAAGATAAACAGCCTACGAGCAAAGTAAGACAGGCATGTGATTAAAAATTTTAAAAATAAAAAAAATAAAAAAATTTTTTTTTTTTTTTTGAAATTATGAATAAATTAATAAGTATCTGTGTAATGAAATAAACACCCACTTTATTTTGTACTCGTTTATTATTATAATTTTTTTTTTGTTTTTCTTCGTTTTCAAAAAAGATATTTTAAAATATACGATAGAAACGTTCGATAGGAACGTGCAAAAAACTTTTCAGTTTTTTTTTTTTTTTTTTTTTTCGTTTTTAATATTTTCGACCGCGTAAATAACTAATAAATTATTGTTAACGGTGTAGAAAAACGCGGCGAGAAAAAATATTAAAAAGATTTATTACCAAATTGCATTAGTAATGTAGGTTTGTTAGTCTTATTATTATTGTTGTTTTTGTTGTTGTTGATGTTGTTGTTGTTGCTTTTTTTGTTTGTTGTTTTAAACACATCAGCGCTGTTGCCTCGCTATATATACATCTCTCTCGCACTCCTTGCAACGTTCTTGCACACTCTATACTTAAACTGCTCAACTCTTTGCAGCTGTGTTTCTTTTGTTAACCAAACCGCAAAACCGAAAACCGCATGTTGTTAACCAACACAAACCAACCCAACACCACCGCTACCAGTACCACACACAAATTCATGTACATGTATATGGGTCTGAACGTGCAAGAGTCGTTAAAATTAAATTACACCTCAGCGCTTAGCAGACATTCATTCAGACACGTATCCATGTACGCTTGTATGCAGGCGTGAGTGTGTGTGTACGTGTAATCGGTCGTTTGAAAATGTGCGTTTGTTATGTTAACGTTTGCTTATATGCATGCATGTATGTATGTATATATGTTTACGACAAATATCCAACAAATAAATAAATTTAAATGTGAAAATAATGCAAAAAGCAGAGAGTAAAATAAAATCTGAAATTTATTACTTAATTAAAAGCAAATGAGGCAAAATATAAATTTAATAAAGCAAAAACAGCAACAACCAACAATAACACACAAAAACAGTAATTTATTAAAATTACACACACGAAATAAGGAAAACAAAAAAAAAAAAAACAAAAACGCGAACATTTCATTTAAACATCTAATGAAATATTAATATACATTAAAACAAGTGCTCAAGCAATTAATTTATGACAATTTGTTTATATATTAAAATTATAAAAACAAAAAAAACCCTCATAAACTTTTTAATAAAATAGCAAATTGAAATTCAGCTCAACATAATAAACAAGAGCAAAATAATTACCGACATACAAATAAATTAATATCAAATAAAAAAGAAAAAAAAAAAAAAAAACAACACATATATATATATATATATATATATATATATATGTACACACAGACCAAAATTCCCGTTCGGTTTACAATTCTCTAGTTAAAACAAATTATAAATTATTGCTTAACTCTGGCAATTAGCAGCGTATAAATTAATAATCATAACAACAACGAGCAAATACAATAATCTTATTAATAATAATACCCCATAATATTAACAACGATAAAAACAATAATAACAACAAATACAATAACAACAGCGACAACAACAATCAACCAGCCACAAATAATAATTTGTTTCTTTACACACTTTAGCGCCTGCGTCGATCTCTATTTGAGCGATTTGTAAAGCAAAAGAAAAAAATATACATATATATATATATATATATATATATATATTCTCTAAAGTATTTTCTCTTTCTCGTTCTCGCTCTCGTTTTCGCTCTCCCCATCTTCTCTCTTGCTTATTATTATTGTTGTTGTGCATAGTTTTTACTCTCACTCTGTGGATTAGAGAGTCAAAAACCAGTTAACTTTTCTACAACACTTTGTACTTGCATATTTATATTCAGTGTTATATTTTTTGTGCATTTGTCTATAGAGTTAGCAGAGTTGCCAACGCTTATTCTGCCTGTTTTTTTTTCGTGAAATTCATTGTGTGTTGTGTGGTTAGAAAACCGTAAAAAGCTTCAAGGTGGATTTAACCAATTATAATAAAATGCTGCAATCCAGCAATCAATATTTAAGGCCGGACTATTTAGCGGCACCAAATGCGGTAAGTTAAACGATTAGTAAATATTATACACGTACATACAAAAAATAATGTTTCATCTTTTGAAATACTTGATAAAATGATGAATACAAGTTTTTATCATCTACGTTTAAGTTAAATTGCAATGTACATAGATCCAACAAGGCAAAGCAAAATCCTTTAACTTTAAGAGGGACGTGGCCCCCACATGCCTCCACATATATATATATATATATATATATATAGTTAATACTTTAATAAGTAAAAAAGAAAAGTCAGATGCTAAAGGAAATTTTGCGTATAAACAAAATCTAGTTGAGGTGGGGGGTGGGAAGGGGGGGTGGTGGTGACATCTCACTCACGAATATCTTCTTTATTAAATTTTCACTTTTTGCGATATTAGTTGAAAATCATAATTAATCAATACCAGGTTGCAAATTTCCATTTTGCCAATTTGGTAAATTTCTATTCCGTAAAATAAACGCATGCGGTCACTTATATTCAGTAATGGATTCGTAGTCGAAGAAGAGAAAAAAGTAAATGGAGAGGGATGGTTAATGTAATCTTAAATTTTTTTTTTTTTTTTTTTTTTTTTTGTGGAGCAAACTAATTGACTATGTGCGCCGTGTTTAAACTTTTTGTATCGTTCTTAGACCTTGTCTGAATTCTATCGGCATATCGGCGTGCAGGCGTTCGTTTAATCGGATATGGACAAATCGATTCGTGATCTTTCGCTAAGAAGGAATAAAGAGAAGCTCTTTAGCGAGCATTTTTTGTTGTCAGCTTCGACGCGTCATTGTTTACATGTTATATAGGATACAACGTAGTAGTGTTCTTACGGAAAAAGCTCCATTTAAAGAAGTTTTAGAAAATTTCTGAAAATAACCACAGCTTAGGTATCTAATGTCTTGCTGTACGACGTCCTTTCCTATTGTTGGGAGAATAATTTAATGTCCAATTTTTCCTCTTCTAATTAGTAGATAGATCTAGATAGTAACTATGATTTAGAAAACCTGAACGTCCTCATATCTGGCCAAAAGCTTAAAAAAGTTAAACCTTAAGGTAACGTTCTTTATTTAATTGTCAGCTATACCGGGCTTATATCATTTATTATGTGGGCCCATTACGCTTATATTTAAGCGTATTCTTTGATATTTGGATATGCGGAGTTTTGCGATTTGTGAAAATATGAACGACCGAACAAATGTTCGTTCGTTTCAGAGTCTTGTATGATTAATAATAAATATCTTTCAGGGCTGACGAAGAGCATGATGAACTTAATAAGCCACAACTCATAGATGAGCCATAGAAAAAATGTAAAAAAGAACAAATTAAAATAAAATTATGTCTAACGTTCAGTACAAGTTTAAATTTGTGTTGATTTTTACAAAAAAAAAAAAAAAAAAAAAAACAAAAAGAAAAGAAAAGATGATTCAGTTTACGATCGCCCTACTCTTTCGCCTTTTTAAGAGGCCACATTGTTTGAAAAAAAGGGAATTTGAGAGGTTTTTTGAAAACCATCAACTGAAAAGAGCCAACTGACAGTTGTTAATTATATTAATGATGTTTTATGGTCAGCTGACTTTTTGAAAAAAAGCTTTTATTTTTTTTTTGTCTTTATTATTAATGCCTTGCTTGTCTGGCTCTGGTCTCTGTCCGTCATAAGTTTTAATAAAGCAATAGACAAGAGCACTTGTCTTCTATGAAAAGAAAACATTGTTGAACAGACAAGAAAACAAACAAAAATTGCATGAATACTTTTTCAGCATAACTTACAGACACTTGAGAGGAAAAGTATTTGAAAAACAAATTACACAAATAATTAAGAATTGTATATAGAATGCTTAGTATGCATATAGAGATAAGTATTTTATTTTTCTTTTCCTTTTTTGCATACTCTTATGAAATCTGATATTTTAATAAAAAAAAAAAAAATGTCTATTCAAGCTTTTTTTTGGAACTGATATGCGAAGCTAACACTGACTGACAGTTGACACACAGTATACAGCGTATGTGGTTTTCTATTTCATATTATGTGGTGTATGAAAATTAATTATAACTTGGGTAGAAATCATTAATCATCATTAGCGTAATAATCGACGAATTTAAATTTATACAATCACTTGTGGTATTCATCGCTATACAGAAATGATGACAAATAATAATCCTGTCAAAGTTGAAAAAAAAAAAAAAAACATTACTAAACAGCTTTTAGATGCAAAGATAAGCGATGCGAGTTTCAAGCCAATAGCAGTATTGATTAATGAGCCGATTTTGCTTCTGTAGTTGGCCGAAAATTGTTCAGCTAGCAATAGCATAGGGCCTAAGTCAAAAGAAATACTTAAGAAGATTTTTATAGAATTCTCCATTTTTCCGATTGGTTTCTGTGCACAGGCAATAAATAGCTGCCCAGCATACGCAACAAGTCTACCATCATTTCCGCTTTCTCTTAATAAGAAATCTGGGATATTGGAGAACACTTATGCGAAACGAAAAATATCGCAAAGAGCGCTTGAAGAAAGTAACATTGATTCTCGATTCGAAACAAGCATATCATGTTTTTTATTTATATTTTTTTAAATAAGACCAATTACCTGGCATAGCTAGTCCCGGCATCATACTTAGTGGTGTTCCTGCGAAGGGGGTGTTAGTGCGATGAAAGTCCCAGCCCGATTTACTCCGCTAATGCTTTCCTCCGCTTTAAAAAACAAAAAACCTATTCGCGTAATACAGGGCTGCTTAGAAAGTAGCGAGGAAAGGAAGAAAGAGATAGGAAGTGACCGCAGCCAAGGTGATATGTACCCAATCAGCAAAGAATGATACTTCTTCCTGATGGAAATTTCCTTTTTTGCATAAAGAAGATTTAAAATAAAATCAATGTAAATGTTTTTTTTTTAATTTCTTTTTATTATTTATTTTTTATTTGTGGATGCCTAGTAAAAAGTTTCAATACTGAACTAAGTAAAAACTCCTGTGTACGCATATAGATTACTTTCATTTCAAATTTTTCAATTTCAACGGCAGGCATGCGCGCACGTTTTCTTTACGCGTCGGGTCTTACATAACATTTCGATTTTTACGTAACTAATATCCACCTCGATTCACAGTCATCTGAGAATAATTAAATGAGCAACTCGACTTGTAAGATTGTTAGCAAATGATGGTCCTTTCCCGGCTGAGCACTCGCTTGTTCCGAATACGCGATTACCGATTCTTATCTATTCGTCTATGCGGTGGCAGCGACTTGTACTACGAATATGATATCAGTTGCGATAATCCCGACACAAACGACTATCATGCATATTCCGTTGTGAGTAATGCGGCTGAAATTCAAATGCGTGCTAATCCAGTAAGAGATGTAAAACTATTCAAAAAAGAGACATGCCATACAAGTTGCTAGACATGGCCCCGATTACCGTAACAAATAAAGAAGAAGGAAATGAAAATGGTGACCTGTAGGGGCCTTGTCGAAGCAGTGAACGCGCTAATGAACTGTTTTTTGAAGACGACATCTCGATAATGGTATTTAAAATCAAATATATATAGCGATTATCGATCTGATGTATTTCGAATGTGTTGGAATCATTTACATAATTCCACGAAATCTTATAAAGAGCTTTCGTTTCTTTTCAATGCCAGTGATGGACGTAGATGTGAACAAAAAAAAAACCGAATGTCTGGATATATATATATATATATATATATATATATAAATTTTTTTTTTTTTTGTTTATTTATTCAACAAACAAAAATAAGAAATGTAAAAATGCAAAGCAAACAAAACAATGTTAACACAACGACCAAATAGTCGATTGGTCAATGACAGAATGGCGTCAGTTTATAGGCACATCGAAAACAGTAAATTTACCGACTTTGACAGCTGTCAGACTGACATTTAAACAAAATGAACAATACCAAAAATAAATAAATGAAAAACGAAACGAAGCTAACAAACTTAACTAAGTTTATTTAGATGGACTGATCGATAGATAAACGATACGTGTTTCATCATCAATAATTTTCTATTCTATTCTTCTATACGAGGTAGAAAAATAAACCCACAGTTGCTGCTAATTTCGTGAATTAATAACAAAAACAAAAGTGATTAAAACGTTTTTTAAAATATGTGTATATACATACATACATATATATATATATATATATATATATATATATGTATTTAGAATAAGAAATTTAATAATCTATGGCGCCAACTAAATTGATTTAAATCAATGTGACAGTTCACAGAACAATTACTCCACACACTTCTTTATATACGCATTCCCCATTATTGCAATGTTATCGCAACCATCTATAACAGCACCGACGCTCAGTGTTAGTGTTCAAACATGTCTTAGCTGTCTGTTTACGTTTGTTTTATTTTATATATATGTTGTTATATATATATATTGTTTATCTATACATGCGTTGAGTGACTGTCAAGTAACAATAAGTTTCGATATGGAGCATACGTTGCACGAGTTTCAAAGCATTTCGTTCCATATGTTTGGAAAGAGAATTTGCGGCGAGGAGGGCGGGGAGGAGAATCCCCTTTAAAAACTACTTATAAATAAATGTGTGATATGTGTGATATGTGTATTTATGTCTTATGTCTATGTCTACTATTATCATTGTATTGATTAGTTAAAGGGTATGCGTCCATTTAAATTGAAAAATGCTGTTTTCTGTATTTTTATTGGTAAAGTCATTGTTATATTTACTCATAATGTATGCGTGCATATATATATATGCGTATGTGCGCATTTGTGTGCATGTGCAGCTAACGGTTGCCTGGATAAAGAAATGAAAAAGAAAGTCATTATTAATGATAAAAATCGTTTTGTAACGACAGCATGTTGCAATTGATGTGATTGAGATTGATTTCATACGTGTTTGTTTGACTTTAACACATTCACATGGTATGCATACACGCTTGCACATATGTTTAGGCGCATATATTTATGTTGAAATAAACTTTTATCTTATTTATGTATCTCTTGACAATGTTTGTTTAACTTCACATA